AATGCTACAGATTTACATTGCACATTTCTAACAGGCTTTTAACATTTTTAATACTCTTAAAAGCAAAAAAGTTGATGGACAATCTTGCTTGTGCCTTGCTATGCAAACACAGGACGGGCCTTGCTGGTTCACATTTCAACGATATGGTTTGAAACAATGCCAGCAAATTAAGTATTTAAGAATATATAGAGTAATTTTACCAGGCTGTGAAAATGAACCCTAAAAAAACGGAACAAATGTAAAGAGATTTTTAGAAATGCTACAGATTTACATTGCACATTTCTAACAGGCTTTTAACATTTTTAATACTCTTAAAAGCAAAAAACGTTGATGGACAATCTTGCTTGTGCCTAGCGGTTCCTTAGCTTAGCGAGTCCCTTTTCGTAAGAAGGGTTCACAAGAAGTATTTGGCGCAAAAGAAACAACCCCCCTCCCACCAAAACAAAAACATGACCACCAATCATATTTTCTTTTCAGTCTTGTTTATTTCCCCCATTTTAGATGTAACGGCTTTTACGCACCTTAGACTTTTTCCATTTTAATGCTAGCATTGGCAACTTTGGTCAGTTCGCAGGAGTGCTCACTGTGCTGGTGCTGCTGTTGCTGCTCGAGAATTAAAAATAACAAAAACGAAACGAATCAAAAATAATGACCTCCCCTGCAATATTATTATCAGATATTCATTTTACACCTCCTTCCACCAGTCCACATTTTTTTTACCAGTCTCTTGTTAAACATTTACAGCAGGCATGGGGGCCTTAGTTAGCTTTTTAATCCGGCCCGCCAAACTTTTCCAAATTGTATAATTTATTTATTTATTTGATCATTAAACTTCTGCCTTTTCCCTGCAATACCCACGTTTCACCAATAGATGGCGTAGAAAATGAAAAAAAGCATTTTAGCAATTTAGCCTTTATGCATGACTTTTACATGTCATAACATGTGGACAATTGTGGCCCACGAGTCAAAAATTTTGCCTTCGCCTGATTAACAGCACTGAACATGTGTTGCGTTACATTTCATTCATTGAATCCGACACAACATAAATAGTTGTCAAGTGGACCGGACCAGTACAATCATAACGTAATTACCTATAAATAACAATAAGGCCATGTTTTTTTCACTCTTATTTATTATTTTCAAAATTCATCAAGTGGGCCGGTTTTGGCCCACGGACCGTATGTTTGACACCCCTGCTTCTCTGAGGTATATATTTGTTTACCTTACATCAAAGATGAAGCGGGATTTGCTGGTGGAGTAAAATCTCTGCTCGAAGGCAGAAAAGATAAGGTGGGGAAAAAAAAAATCATTAAAATACTATGTGTTATATGAGAAACCATGTTTATTTAATAATGTATCACATATGCACCCTCGGGAAGAGAGATTATGTGACTCTAATGTGAGACAAATCTTTGTCTCACAGTATCTGCATTTTTTTTTAAAAGGACGGGGGGAAAAACAGTTCCGTTGTCTTTTATCGATCAGCAGATGCCTGTTTGATTGTGAGGAGCTTGTGAAGTTGTGACATGTGTTTCGTACAGATGAACCATCTAGTGTTTCCGAGAGATGTTAGTGCTCCATAAACCTTCAAAGTGACTTCAGAACTTTATATGCACCATATAAACATACAAACAATTAACATAGCATTGAAATATGTTCTCAACGTTATCATTTCAGGGAAAACATTTATATGTTCTCAACGTTATCATTTCAGGGGAAACATTGATTGATTGATGGATGGATGGATGGATGGATGAATGGATGGATGAATTAATGGATGGATGGATGAATTAATGGATGGATGGAAGGATGAATTAATGGATGGATGGAAGGATGAATTAATGGATGGATGGATGAATTAATGGATGGATGGATGGGTGGGTGGATGAATGGTTGGATGGATGGATGGATGGATGAATGGATGAATAAATGGATGGAGGAATGGATGAATTAAGGGATGGATGGAAGGATGAATGAATGGATGGATGAATGGATGGATGAATTAATGGATGGATGGAAGGATGAATTAATGGATGGATGGATGAATTAATGGATGGATGGATGAATTAATGGATGGATGGAAGGATGAATTAATGGATGGATGGATGAATTAATGGATGGATGGAAGGATGAATTAATGGATGGATGGAAGGATGAATTAATGGATGGATGGAAGGATGAATTAATGGATGGATGGAAGGATGAATTAATGGATGGATGGATGGATGGAAGGATGGATGAATGGATGGATGAATGGATGAATGGATGGATGAATTAATGGATGGATTCGCAAACTTTCGGCCATATGCAACCCACCCCCGTGCGGGTTCTGTGTATCGGCTGGGGCAGCTGTGGAAATCTGATCGTACTGCTGTCCTGTACAGAAATGGGCAAACTAGACAATCTCGGTGGTGGCATCTGCTGTCGTTTTTGCAGCGGCCTGCTGGTGCAGAGGCTTGACATCATTGACGAGGCCATGCTAGTCCCGAGTTGGCCACTTGAAGTGCGAGTAATGGGAGAAAGAGTGGGAGAAACAGTCGAGCTATCACATCTGATCAACGTTCCTGACTTCCTTAGGTGACAGACCGAGTGCCTGAGGAGTGGAATCACAGCGGTGTTGTTCCTGCTGCTGTTGGGCCGTTTGCCTTACATAGAATTGAAACATCACTACGTCGCTGCAATATATAAAAATCAGCTAGTACGTTTTACATATGTGTAAAAAGGAAATTACTCTTCTAGTACCTTCTAGTACAAAACAGCTCTGGTGATATTTGCATATGTAATCAATATATTCAGCTATGCTGTTCTTGTACTGCGTACAAACTTTAAATATTTCTGCTGTATTAATGTGCAACTGCTGCTGGTATTGGGTTGCAATACTCGTTTTACCATTACTCTGATTTACTTTTGTTAATCACTTTAATACACCCTTGCTTTTTTTTTTATTGTTCCTTTTCATAGTCGGGGCATGTTAATGAACTACTCCGCTGTTCTGCCTTTGTGACGTGCAACGTTGCATCGTCAGCAGAGCCTCCTCTGCAGCGTCAGAATCAGTGACAGAATAGTCGGTTCCCAATCCTATTTCAGGCACATTATATATGTATATGTATATGTATGTATGTATATGCATATGTGTATATATGTATATGCATATGTATATGTAAATATGTATGCATATGTATATGTATATGTAGATATATGTATATGTATATATATGTATATATGTATGTATAAGTATATATATGTATATATGTATATTTGTAAATTTATACATAAATATGTATTTACATATATATATAGTTCCTTTTCCATAGTAAATAAACCTATAGCACTGACTAATATGTGATCATACAGTATATCAGCTTTACCACGCACTCCTATATTGCTATGTTCGGATTCAATTCAATATTTTTTGGAGATTCAATCCGGTTAAATGACACATTGATTTATGATTCATTCTGTTTCAAACTAGCAGACAAATAAAGTCACAACGCCAGAGGAGGGTGCAGTAATTACGCGGCTTGTCTTGTGCCATCTGTACAGTTCTGTGTAAGCTTTGTACTAATTCGGATCATTAATCGTATCTATAATTAATTAAAATTTGGGCCGTCAAAATGTGTTAATTAATCGGTGAAATAATCAGATGGAAATTCGGCACACATTTTAACGACTCTCTGATTGACACTATTGTCAAATGGATTGCGATGGACCGGTAGAGTGAACGTTATCGTAGAGGACAACAGCTTCACTGGTTGTTCTACCGGGACGGAACTCCAAAGTTGCCACTATATAGGCAACTATATATATATATATATATATATATATATATA